AAAAAAATGTAGATTTTTTTAACAATGTTTTCTCTTTTGTAGATTAAATTTTTTCTTACATCCGTTATCACCGTTATATGTAAATACCATTAATCAATGTTTACAGAATAAATCCCTCTACTATTCAAGAGCATGGGTGGCAAGATTTTTTTAACTATTTCTTCTCTTTCGTAGACTAGAATATCATTCTTATCAGGCCATTTCCATCTATTTTGTATACCCATACCACCCATTGCCATTGTTTTTATTTTAAACTTTGGTCCTTCTTCAATATCGAGTACTAGCCCTGGGAATTTCTCACCCTCATAGAGAATTACTACATAATCACCTTTGGTTATTTCTGTAGTATTCACATCAGTCATATTTTTGGCATTTTCATCTTTATTCCCATTTGATTTTTTCTTACCCTTAGCTTTCGATTTCGATAGTTTTTCATCCTTTTCATTTTTTAGTCTTATGTGATATCCCATAAACTCATCAGCAACAGCTACTGATGGAGTTATTTTACGTTTAACTTTTCCAGATTTAGTTGTTGAAACTGGGGTGTCTGACCAAAAAAGCGCATTTTTGAACGGAGATGGAAATATTTTTTTTTGAGTAATCAGTGTTTGTTTATAAAAATTTTCAAAGTTGTCATTTTCATCTCGTTGCTCTCTTAGGTTGGAGATCGGTGAATTATCCAATTGTCCGAAAATCTGTACATTATCTGCACAGCTTGTTTTTGGTGTCGAAATCATAACTGAACCATTTGCATTTACGTCTAAGTCGATTACATCGTTTGCAGTGAAATTCTCATCAAGTTCAAGGGCGGAAAAATTTATATTTGCCTCAAGTGTTATATTATGATTTCTTGATTTTCCGAAAGACTCATAGTTTGCAGTGATGAGTCCGGTATGTTTTTTTAAATTTCTAACCATAAATTAAAAAGACCCTCATCTTTCGGTTGGCCATTCCATTGAGTCTTTTCACATCTCTTGAACTCTTGTAATCTTTCGACTCCTATCATATTTTCAATGAATGACAGATTTGAGTGAATATCTTCTTAATTTTTTTCTCTTGGCTCTAATTCTTCACTTTCTGTTTTTTCTGAATCATCGGCTGTAGTTTTTAATAGTTTTTCAAAAGGCACTGCATTTACATTGAATGGATATAATCCACAAATCTTAAAGCCATTGCGTATTGTTTCTGGTTTAGCTGTTCTTTGCAAACATTTGTTAACTAAACCTGAAAAATCCTCTCTTTTCAGGCGATCACCGTTATTATTGATTTGCCATTCATAAATTATTTTTTTCCACTCGTTCTTAAGGGGTGAAACAGAGATACATCCATAGGCTGCAGAAGATGCGTTGCATTTGGTATCAAGCCGATTAAAATAATGCCCTTTTCTCTGCAAAATGTACTTAGATGCAAAGAAAAATGGGATGAGTGCTCATCAAGGAACATGACAACAGGAAATTTAACGTTATTTTGTTGCAAATATGGATAAAAATATTTGTTATGTATTCATAAAATGCCTCGCATGTCATCCAACCTGAGTCGGTCCTCCCTATTCCCCAATTTTTAGGCATTTTTGCAACAATATTCTGTAGCATGCGTTTGTATGGGAACAGAGTTAATGGTGGTATTAAACATCCAGTAGCTGATGCTCCAATAAGAACTGTCAGGCATTCCTTTTCATCATTAGTTGTTCTATTATAAATCTGCTTAGATCCTTTTTTAGCAAGAATAAATTTATTTTTTGGACAAAGGTAAAAAGCTGTTTCATCGCAATTAAAAATACGACTCGGGTCAGTTAAAACTTGGTTGAGATCATATTCTTCAACAAAGTTCTTGATTTTTGCCAATTTCGAACTCCTTTTTCATTTATGTTTGCTCTAGCCGTCGACAAATTTTGAGGTACTCTTTTGGATATGTTTTTGTGACAATTTAAAAAACTTTCATATTATCGGCGCCCTGGAATTCCATCCTTGAAGCAATTGCTTTGTCCATTCTCTGCCATGTATTTGGAAACACTGTATAAGAGTTGATCTTTTGTTACTGGAAATCCTTGCTTTCCCAGTTCGATTATCCAATTAGTAAAAACTTTTTCCTTATCTTGTGTCAATATAGTAGGAGCTCCGACTGATCGTTGATGTCGTCCAAATTTTTTATCTTGAAGCGTAGTTCTGGGAATGCCAAATGCTTTCGAAGCGCTACGTACGGACATCCCTTCACTAATTTGCTGTAAAGCTAGTTTTACGTTTTGCTCGTTGTAATTCATATTTTGTTTAGGTTTTTTTTTGATTTGGGACTTCTTCCGTTCCTCCATCTTCAAAACTTCTATAAAAATGAGATACAGGTATAAATAAAAAAATAAACGTAGCAATTAAGTTAATTAAATTTATTGTAGTAAAATCAGTTTAATTATTTGTCATATTAAGTAAAATAAAAAATGTACGGCATAATAGTTGAGTTTATTTAACACTGACAGAAAAATTACTTAATATAAAAAAATATTTATTTGAGGGGTACTAATCACACATTTATTTGTATTAAAAATTTAAAGTTTACAATTAAATAAAATTAAATATGAATTTTTAATACAAATAAATGTGTGATTAATACCTTTTGAATAAATACATTTTTATATTAAGTAACTTTTTCTGTCTGTGTATTTTTGTCGAGTGACGAAATAAGGGACACATCATTTAAGTTGGATATAATATTGTCATTCAATATTATTTCTTTTCCACGTTAATAAGAAGGACAAATAATAATTGTCGGTAGTATTCAAGGATAGAATAAGTGAACGCTGGCATGAAATGACGTTTGTTTGTTCTTTTTTAGACTTTTATTAAGAAAATGTATTTGACGAAGTTATATCCACTCGAGTAAAAACTACAATATACCTAATTCCGTCATACCGAATTGACATCTCAAAAATTAAAGATAACTTTGATAAAACGCAAGATAATTTTATGACGAAATTTAATCTTAGTATTGTAAACTCTATTCGCGCTTTTGAAAAAATTATGTTAAACAATTAAAATATTTTTTACACATGTAAAAACTTACAATTACTTCGTAAGCATTTTCACTTAATTTCGTCAGTGTGATAAAATAAGAGACACGAGACAATTTAAGGACACATAATTTCGTCACTCACTTTATTTAAATAAATAATGTAAAAAGTTGAATAAAAATTTTTTCTATATTTAATCCAAACTTAATTTATGTAAAATCATGAACATAAAACTAAATTTACTTACCAATCAAAATTTATAATCTTGAGACACGTCTGCTTGTAACTAAATCTTGTGCGTGACTGCCACTACTCAGTAGCGCCGCGGCAACGCCGCGTTAGGATAAACATATATATTCTTCTTTATTATACGTCTTTCGGTTTAAAATTTCTGTATTGAGACGATAAAGTGTTCAAATCGTTTCAAATCGGGAAATATAGTCGACATGTGCGAAATTGCTTAATTTATTTAATTTTAAGAAGTCCTGACGAAATTATATCCGCTGACAAAGTTATAGTCATTTATCTTACTGTATAATTTATTCATTAAATATTTTATTGTTCTTAATTTTGTGGCGATTATATCGACACACAAGAATAATTATACAAAACGTGAAAAACGCTCGCGCGAATACAGACATACGGACATATACGCGGGAAAACAAAATACACGAGATAGACAGACAAAAGACAATGTGTGTTAATCGGCTGATATCGTTTGCTGAACGAGCGCGGTATTTGGTGAGCAAGGAATGGTAGGTGTAGTAACGAAGGCTTCTTGGGTTTTCGGATACTTCTTTTATTTTTTGTCACTGGACGGTGACTATGGTGCCGTTTCTCAGCACCTGATCGTCTTTCGCTCGTTCTTCTCTCAACGGGGTCGGAATAAACACCGTAGCGCGGAGATATGCAACTTGTGCGGGAATCGGTTGACGCGCCTTACGATGAATTCAGAGCGAAGAGTTTCAATATGATTTGACAAGTTTGACAGGGCTTGTTATTGCTTAGACGGCAGAAAGCTGACTCATCTCGGAAACGGGCGTCAAATCGCGCGAACCTGCTGGTTTCCGAGAAAAGTAAGGGAATTAACGACAATAAGAGCGCGGGCAGGTTTTGTTATGTTTTCCACCGATGAGCTGTGTGCTCGCGCGCGCAAACAATACGAAAGTCAAAGCAAGCAATAGTCGCAGAGACGATTCCAAAACAGACAAGAACGGTTTTAAACAAAACAATAAAAATAAAGATTTAGAAAGATCGGGAAGGTCGCAATAACGTTAAAAAAAATAACGTTAGAGAGACTCGACTGCCGAGCGCGAGCGTGTGCGGACGTGCGAACTGATAACGAAAAGATTGTAGCCCGTGGATTTTTGTACTCGGTGAACCTTACAAATTATATTATTTTATAACTATATTAGGCTCTCTCTTCATTTCACACCACACACACCCACACACTAACTTAAGTGGTGACCCCGACGCGATCGCGCGGATTATCAAGTACAGTGAGATAGTGTGCAATGGTGGTGACACGGGACGAGAAACCGAACGCTCCGCTGGTAGAGCCGGAAGCACGAGTGCTTGAGCAGCCGTGATTCCACGGGATGCCGTTGAATTTGCTCGGGATACAGCCGGCGAGATTTGAGCAGCCACCAGGGTATTTTTTGCTCGCCCCTGAGGTGAATTGCGTGAACATGCGGATGCCGGAATTCACGTCGTCGGATCCTGAACTCTGGTTCAGCATCGTCGACCGGAGTTTCCAAGCCTCCAGAGTTACGGTCGACGCGACGAAGTTTGACTACGCGTTGACAGCCATCGGGCTGCGCTAAACGATCGAAGTGCGCAATGTGATAACAAATCCGCCCGCGGATCGTGCGTACGAAACATTAAAATCGGAGCTAATTAAACGGCTCAGTTTATCGGAGAAGCATAAGACTCGGAGGCTCCTCGAGCACAAAGAGATCGGAAATCGGAAGCCGTCGCAGTTCTTGCAGCCTTGCTGGGAATGGGCGATCAGGTTTTGCGGACGATTTGGCTGAGTCAGCTGCCGGCTTACATTCAGCCGCATATAGTAACGCAAACGGAGGACACGCCAGAACAGTTGGCGGATATCGCGGACGCGATAGTCGAGGCGACCCGGGCGCCGCTGTTCCACGTGGCGGAGGCGACGAGATTCGCGGCGCCTCAGGGTCAGAACGCGAGTGATCCTGCGTCTCTGAAAACGAGATTCAAGGTGCGGCTGGCGCAGATGCGGCTGACGATGCAGCAGGAGATTGCGGAGCAAATGACGGCGATTCGCAAGTCGATTGAGGCGATCGGCAGTGAGCGCTACCGAGGAAATCGCGATAATGACCGACGTCATCCGCGTTCGCGTTTACGCCCTTGTGCACGATCGGAAGGTCGCGGTTTGCCGGCCAGCGGAATGTGTTGGTATCACTGGCAATTCGGGGCGGACGCTAGACAGTGCAGAGCATCCTGCTCAATGCAGCAGGGAAACGCGGGAGCCGGTCGCTAGTGGCGGCGAGCGACTTAGGCCATGGTACGCGACGCCTATTTGTGACCGACGCGAGGACAAAGGTGACGTTTTGATTTACACGGGTGCAGATTTCTGCGTGTATCCTCGGAAGATGGTTCGAGGCCCACGACAGAGATCAACCAACGAACTTTCAGCCGCCAACGGCACACCGATTTTCACATACGGGACAGAGACAGTGCAGTTAAATTTTGGATTGCGGCGAGCGTTTTTGTGGCGGTTCGTAATCGCGGACATCTCAAGGCCGATAATCGGCGCCGATTTTTTCGCGCATTACGGGCTGCTAGTGGATTATCGCGTCTGGTCGATCAAGTGACAAGCTTAACTGCGCGTGGACGTTGCATCCGGTGTGATGCACCCAGTGTAAAGACGATCACGAGAGAGACGCAGTACCACCGATTGTTGGAACAGTACGCGGACATCGCGAGGCCGGACGGGCGTCCGGGAGTCACGATTCATGCCACGCGGCATTATATAGAAACGACACTAGGACCACCCGTCGCATGCAGACCGCGGAGACTCGCTCCGGATCGATTGGCGGCGGCAAAAAGAGAATTCCGCAAGATAATGAAAGCCGGGGTCGCGCGACCTTCGAACAGCTGTTGGTCGGCTCCCCTGCACATGGTGCCAAAGAAAGGCGAAGAATGGCGATCTTGTGGAGACTACAGGGCGCTAAACGCACGAACGATCCCGGATCGCTACCCGGTGCGACACATCCAGGATTTCGCGCAGGCTCTTGCCGGGAGGAGAATTTTCACGACGCTGGATTGGTCTGCGCATACCATCAAATTTCGGTGGCAGAGAGAGACGTGCCGAAGACGGTGATCACCACGCCGTTTGGCATGTACGAATTTTCGTACGTCGTTCGGATTACATAACGCGGCACAGACATTCCAGCGCTTTATAAACGAGGTTCTGCGCGATTTCGAGTTTTGCTACGCCTATATCGATGACATCCTCGTCGCGTCATCATCGGAAGAAGAACATTGCGAACATCTGCGAGTGTTGTTTGAGCGCCTGCGAGAGTACGGGGTCATAATCAACCCCGCGAAATGTATATTCGGACAGAGTAAAGTGGAATTCCTCGGATACAAGATTACCGAAGGAGGAACTCGCCCGCTGCCGGCGCGGGTGAAGGCAATACTGGCGATGCAGCCGCCGAGGACGGCGAAGGAACTCTGGAGATACTTGGGCATGGTGAACTTTTACAAGAGATTCATGCCCAAAGCCGCCAAAATGCTGACGCCATTGAACGACCTCCTGTAAGGCAATATAAAAGGAAAAGCGACGATATCGTGGACGGCGCAGGCTTAGCGGGCATTCGAGGCATCGAACAAAAATTTAGCCCAAGCTGCACTTTTGAAACATCCCAGGATAAACGCGGAGCTCGCTTTGTTTACTGACGCGTCCGAACAAAGCATCGGCGCAATGTTACAATAACGAGGCAGTGACGGCTGGGAACCGTTGGCGTTTTTCTCAAAAAGACTAAGCCCAGTCGAATCAAAATACAGCGCGTTCAATCGAGCTGTTGGCAATTTACCTGGCGGTCAAGAACTTTCGGCACATGGTGAAAGCACGCACGTTCACGCTATATACCGATCACAAGCTGATAGTCTACGCGTTTCGCCAGAAGCCCGAGAAGAGCACGCCGCGTCAGTTCCGTTATCTGGACTACATCGGGCAATTCACTACCGACATTCGGCACGTGGCGGGCGTGGAAAACGTCGTGGCTGACGCGCTATCGAGGATCGAGGAGCTCAGTTCCCCCTTGGATTACGCCGCGTTGGCGGAATCGCAGGAGAAGGACGAGGAAGTTGAGAAATGCCTGCGGCGGGAGTCCGAGCTGAAACTCAGCAGGTTAAAGATTACCGGAAGCGGAATAGGAATTTATTGCGACACGGCAACGACAACACCACGATCGTTCCTGACAAGGCTTTTTCGTCGGGCCGCATTTGACTTGGTGCATAATTTGACGCACCCAGGAATAAAGGCGACGGGCAAGCTCGTGGCACAGCGCTACGTGTGGCCGTCTATGAACGCCGACTGCCGTGACTGGGCTCAAGCATGTGTGCCCTGCCAACGGTCAAAAGTGTCGTGACACGTGTCGGCACCGCTCGGAATAATTGCTGCTCCATCCAGCAGATTCAAACATATCCACCTGGACATCATTTTAATGCCATTCTCGGAGGGCAAACGGTATTGTCTGACGTGTGTGGATCGTTTTACACAATGGCCGGCCGTTATGAGACTAGGAGGCAGAAACGGTCGCGAGAGCTTTCTACGAGGGGTGGATCTGTTCATTTGGGGCGCCTCTTCGGGTTACGATGGACCAGGGGCGCCAGTTCGAGTCCAGGCTTTTCCGGCGGTTGAGCGAGCTCACGGGACCGCAACACCTACAAACGACAGCATATCATCCGCAGGCGAACGGAATGATCGAACGATTTCACCGACAGCTCAAAGCGGCGATTAAATGCCAGCAGAACGACCGCTGGACCGAGGTGCTGCCGACGGTGTTGATCGGGATCCGAGCAGCCTGGAACGATGACATGCGGACGACCGCGACCGAGATGGTATATGGCAAAACATTGAGGATCCCGGGGCAGTTCCTGAATCAGCGACCGATGGAGGACGAGGATGACGCCGCCGACTTTGTCGGAAAGTTGCGAGAGCATTTTGAAAAAATGCGACCCGAGGATGGGACTCGGCACGGAGAACGACGACCATTCGTCTACAAAGACTTGGCGACGGCCGAGTAGGTATTCGTGCGACACAACGGGCCGAGGACGATGTTGCAGGCGCCGTATGAGGGACCATATGCGGTCGTCAGCCGCAGTGAGAAAATCTTTGTTGTGAGCATGCACGGCAAAGAGAAAACGGTCTCGATAGATCGGTTAAAACCTGCTTATATTTTACAGCACGAAGCAGAGAACAGCAGCTCGGCAGAGTCGGCGACACAGAACCGAGAGAGTGCGGTCGACGGATGGGGAACACGCGAGGACACGGAGATGCCGCGTCGAGAAGACAGGACGACGACGAGAGCGGGAAGAAAAGTCCGTTTTCCGGGTCGTTTCCAGGCGGGCTTGTGACACCGGAGAGCCAGGACGTGGATCGCGAGGCCCCCGAGTAATCGCCGCGAAAGCAAAGAAAATAGAATTATACGTATTTTTCGCGATTTTGGATGTTTTTTTGTTTTCTATTAACCTGTATATAACGTTTAATTGCGAGTGACATGCGAATATATAACGCACGACGAAAGTACGAAACGGGTTATACATATAAATAAAAATTGTTGCGAATTATAGCATGATAAAATGCACGCCGATATTGTGCTATCAGCATATAGCACTGGCGGGGTAGTACTGTAGCAATTATATCGACACACAGAAATAATTATACGAAACGTGAAAAACGCTCGCGCGATTTCAGACATACGGACATATACGCGGAGAAACAAAATACACGAGACAGACAGACAAAAGACAAGAACGGTTTTAAACAAGACAATAAAAATAAAGATTTAGAAAGATCGGAAAGGTCGCAATAATGTTAAAAAAAAATAACGTTAGAGAGACTCGACTGCCGAGCGCGAGCGTGTGCGGACGTGCGAACTGATAACGAAAAGATTGTAGCCCGTGGATTTTTGTACTCGGTGAACCTTACAAATTATATTATTTTATTACTATATTAGGCTCTCTATTTTACACTACACACACCCACACACTAATTTAAATTTAATTTCATTAACAATTATTTCTTTATTTACTCATGATCATAATTATTTGATTTTTTATAGAAATTAATAATTTTATATTTATTTATTATATATGTATAGAAATAAATTTAAAAAAAAATATTTTTTTATTTTATATAATTCAAGTCTTAGTCTCTCTTTTTCTTATTTTTCCATTAATTATTAATAATTTTTTCTTAATAAATAATCAAAATATTTTAATTCTTAATTTTTACTTATTGTTAGCAATAATTTTAAAGCTTGGAATTTCTCCCTTCTATTTATGAATAATTTATTTATTATCTTTTATACCTTAAAAAATTTTATTTATTTTTTTAACAATTCAAAAAATTATCCCATTTCGCAATATGCGAAAGAAAATATTTCTCGAATTAAAATTAATTTATGAATTTTTTATTAATTATTTTATCTACATATATTCCTATTTTTAAAATAATTAATATCTTAAATTTTAAAATTCTTTTAATGTATTTATCCATTAATCAATCAAGCTGAATACTTATATTAATTTTCTTTAAAAAATTATTTTGATTATCTTATATATTTATTTATAGAATTATTTTATTAATAATTTTAATCTACTTTAATTACTTTAAATTTTCATTTAACTTTGTGGTGATTGTATAATCCCACGAAATATTTACGGCGCCTGGCTCGTGGCCGCTGCGCGTAGTTCAGCGCAGCGCCGCGCAGCGGCGCACGCCGAGTTAACTCACCCGTGAGTGAGATACACGCGGGCCGCTATATACACCGCGCGCGCTTGGTACCAAGAATGTCCGCTAGGCTGCACGCCGAGATATTTTTCCGTAGGCGAAAAGCCACCCACGGGTAAGTAATATAAGTACGGCCCCCTGCGAAGACAGTATCGAGAAAGTTTTTGCGCATTTACGCTGAAGAGATCTCCGGTGCATCGGACGCTTACTTCCCCCACAAAGATCGGATAACCAACAACGACGGCGGAAAAGGAGAACGTTTCTCCTTCTGGAGGAGAAGAGATTAGGTTTGTTCTTCTTGCTTACACGTAAAGTGTATAGTGTACACTTTTACTCCGTCCACTTTTTGGGAGTGGGGGTAACGTCGTGTAAATTCAGTGTAAAGTGTAGGTTTTTCAACGAGAACGCCCAAGTGTAACATCAAGTGTTTATAAATACGACAGCTATTTGTGCATGGTGTTCATGTTTAAAGTTTTAATGAAAAAGTGGAATTTTATTGTTTAAAATTTATTATTGGTTATATTGTTACAATTATCACAAAATGATGAATTAAATAAATGTAGAAATTCTTAATCACATTTTGGAGTCGGAGTCTGAATCTGATTTGTCATCTGATGAAGAGAATTTTGACGAGATTGTTCCTGAATCACCTGTTTTATTTGCTGCAAATAATGGTAAGATAGTTAAATAATTTTTTACTTACTACATGTGAGTACATTTAACCACTGTTTAAAGTAATTTAACCTATGTAATCTAACCTCAAAACATTGTTTTTTAGATGAAGACATTGGACAATTATTAGAGCCAGTATTAGGAGTTGTTCAAAGAGTACATCACGTAAAAATTCTAAATTATATTGAAAATGTTGTACATTTATACACTGAGAGTGATTTTATAATGCACTTTCGCTTATCACGAGAAGTGACCAATGAATTGATCAATCGTTTTGCAGCATCTCAAATTTTTTTGGCATTACAAGGTTAATTATATCATAATTGAGTTCCACATACATTAATATTATTTATAAATAACATATTTTAGTTGCATAATTTTATGAATATAATATCTTATATCTATGTATGTTATCACAGCTTATGCAGGCTACGAGCCTATTTCTCCAGAGAAACATATCATAAGTTTTCTTTGGTACATTGGACATGAAAGCAGTGGCTATCGGGATGTAGCAAATAGATATGGGATTACCATAAGTGCGCTGTACAATGTTATATCCCGGGTCACAAATTTTTTAATATCTCTTGCACCAAATGTCATCAGATTTTCTACAATGCAAGAGAGAGAAGCCATTAAAGAAGATTTTCTACAGATTTCCTGGAGTAATAGGTATATTTTAAAAGTACTATTTTTATACATATAGAATTTCGATTATTTCATTACTAAATAATTCATTATTACAGGTGCCATAGATGGATCGCACATTCGAATTGACAAACCAATAGAAGACAAAGATTTGTACATAAATAGGAAACAATTTTTTTCCATTCAGTTACAAGGCATTGAGAACCACGAACAAAAATTTATGAATGTGTTTACCCTGGATCGGTTCATGATGCAAGAGTTTTTAGGGAATCGCCTGTGTACAATAGACTGAATGAACTTTGTGGAGGTTTGTGACGTAATTTTTTTTATATTAAAATAATATCAAAATGTATATTTGGATGCTATTGTAAAGAAACTTAGTGTACAATCTTTTACTGAACCAATTTTTTTAATTTGCAGAAGATGGATACTTGCTTGGAGATAGTGCGTATTCCTGTTTACAACGGTTGATTGTTCCGTATAGAGATAACGGACATTTGACACGAGCTCAAATCAATTTTAACCAAAGATTGAGTTCATGTCGAGTTATTATCGAAAATGCATTTGGTAATCTGAAACAGCGATTTCGTCAATTGTACCATTTTAAGTTACGAGACATTGTTCGAATGGTTCAGGTTGTGCATGCATGTTGTGTTTTGCACAATATGGCGAATGCTAATGATTTACAGTTATTTAAACCACCTCCCAATGAAAATCAACCTGATCCTGATGCTGTAAATGCACTGATTAATATAGTTGGAGATAATGCAATACCGCAGGATAATCAACAGGGACGAGAACTTAGAGACGAAATATGTAGACAACTCGCAGCACAATAAATGTCTCAATTATTGTACATTCTATTTAAATAAGAATTATGTAAATTTATCTTTTAAAGGCCTTATATATTATATCATTTGTGAATTATAAATAATAAATGTGTTTTCAATAAAAATCCTTATTTTATATTAATATAAAAATTAATATGAAATAAGGATTTTTATTGAATTAATTGTCTTTAAATATCTAATTGTATTCTTTATTAAATATAAAAATTATTTTATTAAACTGTTCCATTAAATTAACAATAAACAATAAACAATAAATAAATATAAATTTAACATATATAAGATAGGCAATAAGAGCCAAATCGCGGATGACAGTGCGTTATTCTAAACGAAACTAAATTTTTTCGTTAGAATTAAATACCTGTGCACAAGGCACCAAATTTTTACTTGGACACGGCCAAGATATAAAATTGGAATAATCTCTACAAGAGATTTTTAATTCCATGTATCCCCTATTCCCCCTAAAGAATTAAAGTGCGAGAGAAAAATATAGATCCGAAAGTCGCAGAATCGGGAATCGAACCCGAGACCTTTCGCTTGCCGGGCGACTGCTCTTCCAACTGAGCTATTCAGATCCTTTCGATTCTATACTTTTCTCTGTTATATATATTAATGTTGGTAAATAAACGCCTTTAAGCCAGCGTGTATAAATTAAGAGTTTAACTAGGCTCTGTAATATATAAATATAAATTTAACATATATAAGATAGGCAATAAGAGCCAAATCGCGGATGACAGTGCGTTATTCTAAACGAAACTAAATTTTTTCGTTAGAATTAAATACCTGTGCACAAGGCACCAAATTTTTACTTGGACACGGCCAAGATATAAAATTGGAATAATCTCTACAAGAGATTTTTAATTCCATGTATCCCCTATTCCCCCTAAAGAATTAAAGTGCGAGAGAAAAATATAGATCCGAACGTCGCAGAATCGGGAATCGAACCCGAGACCTTTCGCTTGCCGGGCGACTGCTCTTCCAACTGAGCTATTCAGATCCTTTCGATTCTATACTTTTCTCTGTTATATATATTAATGTTGGTAAATAAACGCCTTTAAGCCAGCGTGTATAAATTAAGAGTTTAACTAGGCTCTGTAATATATAAATATAAATTTAACATATATAAGATAGGCAATAAGAGCCAAATCGCGGATGACAGTGCGTTATTCTAAACGAAACTAAATTTTTTCGTTAGAATTAAATACCTGTGCACAAGGCACCAAATTTTTACTTGGACACGGCCAAGATATAAAATTGGAATAATCTCTACAAGAGATTTTTAATTCCATGTATCCCCTATTCCCCCTAAAGAATTAAAGTGCGAGAGAAAAATATAGATCCGAAAGTCGCAGAATCGGGAATCGAACCCGAGACCTTTCGCTTGCCGGGCGACTGCTCTTCCAACTGAGCTATTCAGATCCTTTCGATTCTATACTTTTCTCTGTTATATATATTAATGTTGGTAAATAAACGCCTTTAAGCCAGCGTGTATAAATTAAGAGTTTAACTAGGCTCTGTAATATATAAATATAAATTTAACATATATAAGATAGGCAATAAGAGCCAAATCGCGGATGACAGTGCGTTATTCTAAACGAAACTAAATTTTTTCGTTAGAATTAAATACCTGTGCACAAGGCACCAAATTTTTACTTGGACACGGCCAAGATATAAAATTGGAATAATCTCTACAAGAGATTTTTAATTCCATGTATCCCCTATTCCCCCTAAAGAATTAAAGTGCGAGAGAAAAATATAGATCCGAAAGTCGCAGAATCGGGAATCGAACCCGAGACCTTTCGCTTGCCGGGCGACTGCTCTTCCAACTGAGCTATTCAGATCCTTTCGATTCTATACTTTTCTCTGTTATATATATTAATGTTGGTAAATAAACGCCTTTAAGCCAGCGTGTATAAATTAAGAGTTTAACTAGGCTCTGTAATATATAAATATAAATTTAACATATATAAGATAGGCAATAAGAGCCAAATCGCGGATGACAGTGCGTTATTCTAAACGAAACTAAATTTTTTCGTTAGAATTAAATACCTGTGCACAAGGCACCAAATTTTTACTTGGACACGGCCAAGATATAAAATTGGAATAATCTCTACAAGAGATTTTTAATTCCATGTATCCCCTATTCCCCCTAAAGAATTAAAGTGCGAGAGAAAAATATAGATCCGAAAGTCGCAGAATCGGGAATCGAACCCGAGACCTTTCGCTTGCCGGGCGACTGCTCTTCCAACTGAGCTATTCAGATCCTTTCGATTCTATACTTTTCTCTGTTATATATATTAATGTTGGTAAATAAACGCCTTTAAGCCAGCGTGTATAAATTAAGAGTTTAACTAGGCTCTGTAATATATAAATATAAATTTAACATATATAAGATAGGCAATAAGAGCCAAATCGCGGATGACAGTGCGTTATTCTAAACGAAACTAAATTTTTTCGTTAGAATTAAATACCTGTGCACAAGGCACCAAATTTTTACTTGGACACGGCCAAGATATAAAATTGGAATAATCTCTACAAGAGATTTTTAATTCCATGTATCCCCTATTCCCCCTAAAGAATTAAAGTGCGAGAGAAAAATATAGATCCGAAAGTCGCAGAATCGGGAATCGAACCCGAGACCTTTCGCTTGCCGGGCGACTGCTCTTCCAACTGAGCTATTCAGATCCTTTCGATTCTATACTTTTCTCTGTTATATATATTAATGTTGGTAAATAAACGCCTTTAAGCCAGCGTGTATAAATTAAGAGTTTAACTAGGCTCTGTAATATATAAATATAAATTTAACATATATAAGATAGGCAATAAGAGCCAAATCGCGGATGACAGTGCGTTATTCTAAACGAAACTAAATTTTTTCGTTAGAATTAAATACCTGTGCACAAGGCACCAAATTTTTACTTGGACACGGCCAAGATATAAAATTGGAATAATCTCTACAAGAGATTTTTAATTCCATGTATCCCCTATTCCCCCTAAAGAATTAAAGTGCGAGAGAAAAATATAGATCCGAACGTCGCAGAATCGGGAATCGAACCCGAGACCTTTCGCTTGCCGGGCGACTGCTCTTCCAACTGAGCTATTCAGATCCTTTCGATTCTATACTTTTCTCTGTTATATATATTAATGTTGGTAAATAAACGCCTTTAAGCCAGCGTGTATAAATTAAGAGTTTAACTAGGCTCTGTAATATATAAATATAAATTTAACATATATAAGATAGGCAATAAGAGCCAAATCGCGGATGACAGTGCGTTATTCTAAACGAAACTAAATTTTTTCGTTAGAATTAAATACCTGTGCACAAGGCACCAAATTTTTACTTGGACACGGCCAAGATATAAAATTGGAATAATCTCTACAAGAGATTTTTAATTCCATGTATCCCCTATTCCCCCTAAAGAATTAAAGTGCGAGAGAAAAATATAGATCCGAAAGTCGCAGAATCGGGAATCGAACCCGAGACCTTTCGCTTGCCGGGCGACTGCTCTTCCAACTGAGCTATTCAGATCCTTTCGATTCTATACTTTTCTCTGTTATATATATTAATGTTGGTAAATAAACGCCTTTAAGCCAGCGTGTATAAATTAAGAGTTTAACTAGGCTCTGTAATATATAAATATAAATTTAACATATATAAGATAGGCAATAAGAGCCAAATCGCGGATGACAGTGCGTTATTCTAAACGAAACTAAATTTTTTCGTTAGAATTAAATACCTGTGCACAAGGCACCAAATTTTTACTTGGACACGGCCAAGATATAAAATTGGAATAATCTCTACAAGAGATTTTTAATTCCATGTATCCCCTATTCCCCCTAAAGAATTAAAGTGCGAGAGAAAAATATAGATCCGAAAGTCGCAGAATCGGGAATCGAACCCGAGACCTTTCGCTTGCCGGGCGACTGCTCTTCCAACTGAGCTATTCAGATCCTTTCGATTCTATACTTTTCTCTGTTATATATATTAATGTTGGTAAATAAACGCCTTTAAGCCAGCGTGTATAAATTAAGAGTTTAACTAGGCTCTGTAATATATAAATATAAATTTAACATATATAAGATAGGCAATAAGAGCCAAATCGCGGATGACAGTGCGTTATTCTAAACGAAACTAAATTTTTTCGTTAGAATTAAATACCTGTGCACAAGGCACCAAATTTTTACTTGGACACGGCCAAGATATAAAATTGGAATAATCTCTACAAGAGATTTTTAATTCCATGTATCCCCTATTCCCCCTAAAGAATTAAAGTGCGAGAGAAAAATATAGATCCGAAAGTCGCAGAATCGGGAATCGAACCCGAGACCTTTCGCTTGCCGGGCGACTGCTCTTCCAACTGAGCTATTCAGATCCTTTCGATTCTATACTTTTCTCTGTTATATATATTAATGTTGGTAAATAAACGCCTTTAAGCCAGCGTGTATAAATTAAGAGTTTAACTAGGCTCTGTAATATATAAATATAAATTTAACATATATAAGATAGGCAATAAGAGCCAAATCGCGGATGACAGTGCGTTATTCTAAACGAAACTAAATTTTTTCGTTAGAATTAAATACCTGTGCACAAGGCACCAAATTTTTACTTGGACACGGCCAAGATATAAAATTGGAATAATCTCTACAAGAGATTTTTAATTCCATGTATCCCCTATTCCCCCTAAAGAATTAAAGTGCGAGAGAAAAATATAGATCCGAAAGTCGCAGAATCGGGAATCGAACCCGAGACCTTTCGCTTGCCGGGCGACTGCTCTTCCAACTGAGCTATTCAGATCCTTTCGATTCTATACTTTTCTCTGTTATATATATTAATGTTGGTAAATAAACGCCTTTAAGCCAGCGTGTATAAATTAAGAGTTTAACTAGGCTCTGTAATATATAAATATAAATTTAACATATATAAGATAGGCAATAAGAGCCAAATCGCGGATGACAGTGCGTTATTCTAAACGAAACTAAATTTTTTCGTTAGAATTAAATACCTGTGCACAAGGCACCAAATTTTTACTTGGACACGGCCAAGATAT